AGTGCGGACAAAAAGCCGTTTGCTTGGCCCGACAGGACCCGGATAAACCAATTGTCGTGACAAGCGCGACACGTTATTAGGCTAAATGTCCGTTGGAATTTCGCTATTGGAAACGCGACCTGCGCCGCGGCGAGATCCCGCTGAGCTCGATAAAAAATCTACTCCACTTGCGCCTTAATTGGCCGAGCTCGCCGCCGTTGCGTGTAGAGCTTGCCTACATCGACCCCCGACGGGTCGTGCGTAAATCGATGGTTGTTATGTGTGTCAGTATAATAATATTAGAATAATATTAAAGTTAAACACGAATAATAATAATATCGTAAACGCCCGCGCAATCCGATTAATTTCTCCGTCCGTTCTCTTAATCCATGTTCGTTATTTCGTATTTTTTCTCGCCTTGTTATCGTTTCGTCGCGTTATTATTTATTATCAAATATTAATAAATGAGCGGAACGTCGGGCGTTGCCCGATTTCGCAACGAGTGAGAAACGATCGGTTTTCCGGTTGTCGATGTCGACGAGGTCGCGAGTCTCGACCTTCGATTTTCACCTCTCTCTCTCCCCTCTCTCCCCCCCCCCTCTCTCTCTCTCTCTCTCTCTCTCTCTCTCTCTCTCTCTCTCCCGTGCCAGTCTCCTCGTCGCCGGCTTTCCTTCTGCTCATTAGCGCGGGCGTGCATCGCGCGCAGGTTCTTGAACCGCGGGCTAATTGTTGTGGGAACCACCGGTACTCGGCGGTATTTCCGGGTGGTGAGAGGCGGCCGGTGATTGTGCAGTTTCACGCGACACCATTCATTCGCGCTTCGTTACCGAAGGAGATATTAATCCCGTATGCCGCGGCACGTCGGCTGAACATCACGGACGCGGGTCGTCGCAGTCATTTTACGCCGCGGCGTGGGATCGTTTCCTCCGTGCGATCGCTATCTCCGGCAAATGATCGCGCGTTTATCTCGCGTAGGATATCGCCCGGGTCGCGTGAGGCGCGCTCGACAGTCGCCCGGGGACTGCAAGCGCCAAATGGCTCGAAATTACCTGGCCACGATACGCGACTTCGGATCTAGACGCTGAGTTTCTGCGCCATTTGTATACAATGTCGCTTGTGCGATCGTGACCCAGAGAGCGAGCGAATGGACGAGAGAGAGAGAGAGAGAGAGAGAGAGAGAGAGAGAGAGAGCCGCGGAGATGGATCGTAGCCGATAAACCAAACGCCAACTGATACGTCGGCCAAGGCGTGTACGTCGAATGAAGGGCTACTGAGACGCATTTCGCGCAAACGCGACGTCTCAATCTCAAGTTGGACCAATCGCCGGAGATATTGGCTCTGCGCCAATTTCCGACGAGCGTGATTTACCGGACTACCATTCACGCGCGATCGCTTGCACTTTGCGCCGGCGAAAGAGAGCTGTATTGTGACGGGAGCACTTTGCGTCACATTTGCGCGGCTAATTCGACGCGAAGGTAGCACAAGGCGCACAAGGTAGAGAGATTCCCGTTTAATGATCATCGCGGCGCGCCACACGCGAGAATAGAACGGCCAGAGTTGAGGAGCGAGTAAAAATCGCGGCGAAAGGTGCCTCGGGGAGCCGGAAAATCGGGGAAAACACTCTCGACGAGAGCGAATAAATGCATCTCGAGTTATTGGGAGCGGATTGAAGAACTGGGATAATTTATACGGTACAGAGGCCGAGGCTGCGCAGCCTGGGCTCTCGGGAAGAAGTCACGTCGGCATTCGCCGGGCGATCGACGATCGCCGATCTCGGAGCGATTCCCGAACTGCATTCCTCGCGCGCGCGCGCTCGCTCGCTCGCTCGCTCGCGGCCGCGCGCGCTATCGCGGCTATAAATACTGGCGATTCGCGCTTCTAATCTGAGCGTATTACGCGAGCGAGCGAGAGAGAGAGAGAGAGAGAGAGAGAGAACGAGAGGAAGGAGCAAAGAAATAGAGCGAAAACGAGATAGGCAAGAGAGCGAGGTCGCGCGTATCCGCCTGTGTATTCTCCGAAAGGGAGTAAAACGCGTAGAGCGAACGCACGCACCTACGCCGAATGGCGCTCGACAGCTCGTGCAGCTCGCGAAGTGGCCGGCCGGCTGGTCGGCGCCACATCGGCCGATGTATATCGAGAAGCAAACGCGTAATAAACGCGATATTATACGCGGCGATACGCGGCGCACGTAAGACGCCCGCAACGCTCGCTACCACGATGAATTATATCCCGCCCGTGTAATCGCACAATGAGAGCCGGTCGCCGCGCCGCCGCGCCGTCGCGAAAATCGAGCGACGCGATCCTGTGATCGCGATCGTCGGCGGAATGAAAACGGCAATTATTCAGCCCGCATCTCCGATCTCCGAAGCGGCTGCGCTTCTGCGAGTTACCTGCGGCGGTATTAACGCGCGCGCGCGCTACATTTATTGCCTCGTTGCACGAAATGTGCGAAGGCCGATTATACGTTTCATACTGCGTGCGCGCCGTATCGAGCGTTTGCACTGATAGAAAAATATAGTTGAATTAACTATAATCTCACTATATACTTGTAGTTCATTTTGGCGTCAAGCGTATTTTTATAGTTCGTGGAAACCTACGAAATATAGTAGAACAAACACAAATATACAGTCAATGATTGTCTTAAATAATTGTTTAGCTACTTTTACCACATATATGGTAATTTCTCATTCACAAATATAGTGAGATTTAATATTCATATAGTTACATCTATCATCATTGAGCAAATATTCTGGTAATATTGACTATATAAAAGAGTTACTTTACCTACCATTCAATATTTGTATCCATACAATAATTTTAGTTTAACTTACTACAATTCTCCGTAAAAATATTATATGGTTGGTTATACTATGCCTATATCGTAATTATTACCGATATTACCGATTAATACTTAGTATAAATACGATATTTCGGACTATAATTTAGTTACTACGTACTCGATCATTATAGCTCCACATATCATATACTTTTCTCTCAGTGTGCGAGCCGGCTTCAGCCGGCTGATCGCCGTGTAAGAAAGTGACCTCCAGAAGACGCGAGGCCCCGATCGACACCGACGCCGACGGGAATGTTGCGCCGATGTTAGAATTTCCCGCTCGGCGATGAGCGATAGGAAATCGCTCGGCGTGACTGTCACAAGCGACGTTATGCAGCCGCGAGCTCACCAGCTCCAACTGCGACAATTAATTGAGTACATATGTATCTCTTGTGAAGTTTCGTAAGGGAGAAGAAAGCGGTGCGCTTCCGAGAGTAAATTTGTCCCGTTGGAGAGACCTCAGGTGAAAACACGCTCTCGCGCCTTTATCACTCTCGGCGGCTGAGAAGTCTCTTTTTGTCGCGCTGCGCGCGACGACACGTTATTTCGGATGCTGTGCCGGTCACAGTACCGTTGCCAGCGAAATAGTCACCTACGAGTCACGCGCGAGAATCGATCGTTAACTCGTTGTGAGCACGGAGGTACATATGTACTTAGGCGGGACTGAACTATACGCGACGGCGGGCGGGAGCGCGCGTTCCCCATATTTTTCCCGCGTCTCGTTTCTCGAGATTGCTTTCCCAGAAGCGGGTTAAAGTTAGGGACAGATCGACACAGCGTCATCGCGAACGCGGCACAATTCAATTTCAGTTTATCACAGGCTGGCGGAGCAGTCGCCGACTATACGCCGGCAGACACCACAATTTCCGCAAAAGAGCGGCCCGAAATCAAGCGCGCGCGCGCTCTGTTATTGCACGCGCGGCGATCATTTTGATACAGCGAGAGACTGAAAGACGATCTATAATGTCCGTGATGGTCATCGATGATTGGATTCAGCGGTGTCGGCTGTTGTTATTCCCCGCGAGAAATGAAAGAATGTACAGTGCAACGTTCGAGTTCTCGGACTCGCGTTGTTTTTCCCTCAGGTTTGCGCAACGACGCACATTGATAGTTTTCCAGTAATCAATCGGCAATCTTCGAAATTCATCGAGTCGAGCCATAAAGTCGCGCGCTCGTTCAAGACGTCCTGTTTAATCACGCCTCTCGGGTGAGAGACGTACGGTGTCGTCGCAATTTGCAATTGCGGGTGACGTCATTATTTACGGTCTTCTCGCGGTGGTACGTCGGAGCTAATTTTAAATCGAACGACGAGCTTTTTCTGTTCCAGAGAAACGTCGTCTTGCACCAGAGTGAAATTTCCATCTTATTTTTTCTTTTTTTCAAATTAACTATTGCTTCCATTAAAATTAGACGCTCGCAGCGGAGATTTTCAAATTTATATTAAGAGAGAATAATAATATACGAGCAGCATTATATTTGCCAAAATTTCCAATTAACTTTTTAGATTATTTCTTTATTGGAAATTATATATATATATATATATATTTTTTTTTTAATATTCATGTTTACACATATGATACGTCGACAAATTACTGCGAGAAATTCGCGTCATGATCTCTCGTGTAGATATTACGAGTTCCCTACGGGGTACTATTTATCGTACAGAAGTTGCGGTTCAACCCTTTATAGGTCGGCATTCATAAGTTCGGCCACACACATTCAGACCTTCTGTTTATTCAACCTGGTTGGATGCCACGATGAATTTCCATCAAACATTTGAATCGTATGCTTTATGCGCATGTAATCTATTTTACTGAAAATTAACATTGCTTTTGCCGACTACGAGATATAAAATTTCATAAATTTACCATAAAAATATTTTGCTGCACTAAAATATACGAAACATTTGATTTTTCAATATTTATTTTACATTTATTTCCTGAGCATACTTGAATCTGAATAACAGATTTCCACGATAATTATAGAAAGACGCGAATTTTAAATTTTATCCAGTTACGAGTTTTTCGTTAGGTTTGATCATCCGGACCGAACTTTAATATTTCAAAAAACTTTTCTCTATCATTCATGCATGATGCATGGAGATTACACGGGGACGACGCGAAAGAATCGCAGAGTACACGTACTCGCGGTCACGGCCCGACAATACGGCATGTGCAGATTTTACCTTTCTCCCGTGACCCTTTCTTGATCCTTCCGCTCGTGGACTTTCCGTTCGGCCTCTTCCGCCTTTCCCTGCTATCTCTTCACCGTTCTCAAGATCTCACAACTCAGCGAGCATAATAATTCCCGATCCGAGTGGCGGGTCCAATCGACGGACGCGCGAAAACTGCACTCGCGCTTTTCCACGGAGATTCAATCTCGAGAAGCCGGTCACTTTCTCGCGCGTACGAAGACGGATCTTCGTCGCGAGATAACATCGATCATGAGATCGCGGATAAGGAATCGGGGGATTTCTCTCTTTCTCCCCTTCTTTCTCTTCCTATCTGCTATTCTCTCTCTCTCTCTCTCTCTCTCTCTCTCTCTGTCTCACGTGTGTCGTCTCACGAGCCGGCACCCACGCACAGGTACGCGTGCACGTCGCGAGCGACCGATCGCGCGCGAGCTTCGAAAAGCAATGCAAGCGCGAGCGACACGCCGGGCTCTCGTTCCTTCCTACGTTCTTACTCGCACACGTCGTCGTTCCTGGCTCGTGCTCTCTGCCTGTCCCACTCTTCGGGGCTTTCCCTGTCCGTCTACCTCGTGGTCTCTCTTTTGCTCCTTCCCTCTCCACTGGATACACACTCGTTCACCGTCGTTCGTTCTCTTTTTCAACGTTTCTCTCTCGCGATCTCTGGTGCCGGCATGCCTTCGTCCTCCTCGCTCTTTTTCGTCTCTGTTACTCCGTGAACGTGGTACCAACCATCTTCCTCCGATGTTATCCGACCTCCCCCTCCCCCTTTGCATTCGCCACCACCTCTTGCTCCTCTTCCTCCTCCTCCCTTTCTCCTGCCGGTCTCACAAATCCTCCGACCTTCCCGCTCCGTCTTTCAGAAATGTTCTCCGTCGCTCCCGATTCGTCCTTGCTTTCCGATCGATGCTGCGCCGATTGCTCCGGTTTAATTTAATCCGTCAAAATCCATCTTCTATAATTGAAGCGGTCAGCGGAAAGAGTGTATACGGCGGCACGTGATCTCTCATTGGAGATTGGCTTGTTGGATCAAATAATATTTCCAGGTCTCTGCACTCTCTTTTAATTAAAACTGAAATATATTAGATCTCACTCGAGGAGTGAAAACTCTGAGAGAAACCGATCTTCTTTGTAGGAATTCTTCCGCGAACCTCCACATTTTTTTGTTGTTCGCTTCTTCTCTTACTTTGAAACATTACTTCTATTAATTATCGCGTTTATATTGATGTAAATTTCTGTAACGCAACTCCAGAGAGAACTGTCGATTTATCTTAATTGTGGTTTGTCTTTCCACCTCCCACGTCCCAGTCTTGCTGCTTTAAAAGCAGCTCAGAAATCAGTCGAAGTTTCGCGGAACCTGCAATGAATCTTTTCCATTTTTCCTCTTCTCGTCGTCTCGCCCACCCACAGACACGCGTCCTTCCTCTTGGCGAAGGCTTCTTCGCGCCTTTCGCAGGATCGTACTCGTGCTGAAGACTTCGGACCAGTTCGACGGTATGATTCATGAAGGCCACTTGAACTTCCCAAGTCGCGGTCTTAAATCGTGTTCGACTTCATAGCCTCGATCGAGCTTTCGACGTTTAAGCTTCGGCTTACCTGCTCACATGCTACGTGAGCTCGAGGGACGCCATTATGAGAATAAACACGCCTGCCTATTTCGGAGAAGAGCTCGGAGAGAACGATCTCGGGTGATACCTTGAAGGTTACCTCAAGATCCCACCACACCTAAAGCTTCCTCCGAGTCTCGACTATGAATATATCACCCTGCGCTCTCGACGCGTCTATCGGCTCGTCTCTCACCGTCTATCTCCTATCTATCTATCTACCTCTCTCCGTCTCCGGTGAGAGCTTTACCTACCGCACTCCACATCCGTTGCCTGGAGTCACGTCTGTCGGCTTCGAGATCTCTTCGCCATCTCCTCCTCTCGCCGCAGCAGTCGCCACCTTCGATCGGCCGCTTTCCCAGCTCGCCTTGCCGTCGTCGTTGCACATTTGCCTTTCTTCTTATTCTCCTTTCATCTCTGATTGTTTCGAGATAACCTTCGCGCATGTCTCGTCGTCTAACATTCCTTATCGATATCGAACATCTCCAAGTGCGATCTCATTTCTTCTTTCCTCTGTGTATCGGTATACTCTCTCCAGCAGCCCGTTCGTTACGACCGCGACGCCCAGGGGGATGCCGGCACCCACGGACAAATAATCAGCTGATGAATATTCGCTGTTTTTCCAACAGGCTGTTTTTATTCCATTTATCAAATCCCTCCCTATCCCCGCCCGCCGCTCGCGCACGTCCGTCGTTTCTCCTCCAACACGACACGCGCTCTCTCGCAGCAGTGCTCCTCGGAGCACTTCCCCTCACACCCACGTGCCGGCACACGGACACACGGACGGTCAGTTCGCACGTACGGATCGGGCACTCGTATATCGCGCTGCGTATAATATCGCGCACATCGCCGGAGATTGGGTCCGGATACGGCCGTTCAGCAAGCAAGGGGGCAAGATACTAAGCAGCCACTTCCTCTTTTACGTCCGCGCCATTTGTAAACAGAGCTGCTAACGGGGCGCAATATGCTCCGTTTTAGCGGCGTGATGCCATTTGCGCAGCGGTTGGAAAAGAAATGATTGACAGCGCCGGCTGGATGGACCAAATTGAGTCATCCTGCGCGGGACGCGCGAGGTCACACCGGCGCGATTACAAATCGCCATTCCGCGTAACTCGATTCACATGCGACAGACTTGCCACCGTATGTACGCAACCGATATCACTGTGGTTCCGTTCTGCGAAAGGGTCAAGGTGGAATTGACACTTTAGCTGATGATGTTCGAGCGCTTGAAGTTTCTCTCCCTCTCTCCCTCTCTCTCTTTCTCTCTCTCTCTCTCTCTCTCTCTCCTCTCTCTCTCTCTCTCTCTCTCTCTCTCTCTCTCTCTCTCGCATCGGACGTGCTGCGTATGAAAATGCGGTCGGTTATCTTTATACCCGACGCTACTTTACGTGAAACAATATCCCGAAGAGTAATAGGAGACGGTAATTAATTAGGTACACGGAAAGGGTAATGGAAAATATCGGGAGGGCCGATAAGGAGACTACGGGAGACAAACGAGAAACTAATAAATACCATACGAATCCGAGTCAAAGGAGCGACGCACTTAGGCTCTCGCGTTTACACCGCCCTTTTATCACCGGGAGAAATTCCACGGCTATCTACGCTAACGGAATAGCCCGAGAGAAGCGTTTACCTCCTATACGCCTGGTCTGCTCTCTCTCTCTCTCTCTCTCTCTCTCTCTCTCTCTCTCTCTCTCTCTCTCTCTCTCTCTCTCTCTCGCTTACTAATCCGATTAACGTTGACGCGAGGTAAAACGCTCGTTGACGGTGTATTATAATAAACAATTCGGACAGCGACTCAGCCGCGTCCGATCTCTCCTTCGTGCAAAGTTACGTCGAATTTATGTCCGTGTCGAATTTATGTCGCGAGTCGTGTAATTGCGTCGATGCGCGTCCTTAATCGCGGCCGAAGATTTCATCGAAACGTGACGTTTCTTCTCAGCGACGAGACGCCCGCAAGCTAAATTATCGATTTCGGACGATTCACTCATACGGATAGTCTATTGTGATCGCAGGTAAGCGCATCTCGGTACCCCGTCGTGGTGAAACTAGGCCACGCCCACGGCGGAACCGGCAAGGCTCGTGCGGAAACGAATCAAGAATTTCTAGATCTCGCCTCGCTGGCGGCTATGGCTAACTCCTACTGCACGGCTGAGCCGTACGTCGACACCAAATACGACGTGCACGTGCAGAAGATCGGCAACAACTACAAGGCTTTCATGTGAGTTGTCGAAATGGGGAGGAAGAAAGATGGCGAGCGCGCGCCGAGTAATTGGCACTTCTGGCCTGATGGGAGAGTTGAGTGTTCGGAAAATCCAGAGGAGTCAAGGTCGAGTCTACGAGTTAATATTTAAGAGATCCTTAGACAGAGATAGAGAGAGCCGGAGACTCTTCCGGTGAGAGTCTCGAGAAACGAGCTTAGTGAAACATTTATTTAACGCGGAAAGTTAAAATGAGTTACCTTTGCCGAGAGTGTAGCTAGATTGCGAAGAGCCCCGCTGCTCCGGATTACTAATTCACAACACACGCATCATCACGGTCATGAATTAAATATTCGATGATAAAGAGACTCCTCTCTCGATAGCGAGCTCCGTGTTGTGTCGACGCTCATAATTCACGCTACGTTGCTACTCGCGGCTTAGACACGTTGCTTTGCATAATAGACGAGCTGAAATTGTAGCGATGCTGCGTTTGCCCGCAGGCGAAAAAGCATAAGCGGCAACTGGAAATCGAATACCGGCTCGGCCATGTTGGAGCAGCTTTCCGTGAGCGAGAGACACCGCACATGGGTGGACCACGTGGCGCAATTATTCGGGGGGCTGGATATCTGCGCGATCGAATTGCTGGTGGGCAAAGATGGCCGGGAGCACATCATCGAGGTCAACGATAGCGCGCTCTCCTTGATGGGAGACTCGCAGGAAGAGGACCGCCGTCACATCGCGGACCTAGTCACCGCGAAGATGCAGGTTCGTTGGCCGCCCGCGAAGCACGATCGATCCCCCCATTACGAGCAAATGATAATTTACGATCCGCAGGTTTACTGCCGGCCGCCGAGCGTGTTGACGAAGACCGCCTCACGGGGCTCGATGTCGGGCTCCAGCCAGGCGACCAGCCCGGTGGAAGATCGAACTGCACCCCCGACAGCTCCCCTGGGATCGCACGGAAGTATGGGCTCCATGGCGAGTATAGGCAGCCTGGGCTCCGTCAGTTCCGCCGCCACCGCGATACCGGGAGACGTCACCACCTCGGACAGCCATCATCAGCTGCAGCGACGTGACTCCCAAGGTTTGTACTTGTCCGCTCGCGATTATTTCGCGATCCGGTGGATGACGCGATGGCGCGTAGCGAGGAATAACTGTCGCAAACTTTCATGCAATTGGCGAGGTGTGATCACTCGTTCAATTTTGTGATCACAAGGTAACGTGAAACGTTGGTCGACGATAATGAGACACGAGCAGCCTATGCAGTCACAATTTAACTCGTTTCAATTTTAAGCGAAATCTCTTCGAGTTCTCTTCGCGATCGCGTTCGTTCTTGCCGAGAGGTGAGAAGCAAGCTGCTCCGGATCTTTTTCATTCAAAATCGAGCCGGAAAATATCAAACTCATCGGATGCTTTGTGCTCCGCGTTTCTCGGCTCCACCGAGAATGCATACTGAGCTGTGAAACAAGACTAGAAAAATGGAACGTATTCCTTTCGTTTGTTCCTCTGATATCAATTTGCTTGTTCCTTGTTGATTGACGTCTCGTACGTCCCGAAGGAGATCTCTCTCGGGCTTAAGGTCCTCTCGAATTCCCACAGCATCGCAATCGAGCACCGTGAGCTCGGTGAGCGCGCCGTCCGTCGGCCGGCGCTCCGAGGAACCGCCGACGTCCAGGGTGCCGTTCCACCGACAAGGCAGCCAGTCGCAGACTCAGGGCGAGGACACTGAGGACACGATGAAGAACCTGCGAAAGACCTTCGCCGGTATCTTTGGCGACATGTAGACCTCGGGGTAGGGCCGACTGGGCGAGAGCGAGCCCGGCGGGCGCTCTCGCGGCGAAGTGGCGAACGAAAACCAGTCGGCACGAACAACACGAACTCACGAAATCCTTCGAAGATCCCTAAGCATGTTCCACGACTGAAAAGCTCGAGAGCACTCTCACTCGATGCGCCGATCGCGCGTAGGTAGGTTGACGCGGAGCATGTAGATATCTATATATTTGCAGATTGTCATATAAGAAACTCGCGAGGCTGCGCTCCGCGCGAAGTCCAATTAACCCTTCGAATCTGACCGAGACTCGCGGATTGTCCGTGGGAAGCAGGGAGCTCTCGTCCGCCGTTCGATATCAGATCGTTGATAGGGCCAAGGACGGGGCACAATTACACCCCTGAGAGTGCGCAGTCTCGCGGTGAGAAACTCAAAAACGAAGAATCTCATACGTTCATCGGTTTAATGAGCTAACGCGCTGTAGCAAGCCAGCGAGGTAGGTTCTGTATATTGAGAGAGTCTGGTCGTATGTGTGTGTGCGTGCGTGCGTGCGTGCGTGTGTGTGTGTGTGTGTGTGCGCGCGCGCGTGTGTGTGCGTGTGTGTGTGTGTGCGTGTGTGTGTGCGTGTATGTGCGTGCGTGCGTGCGTGCGTGCGTGCGTGCGTGCGTGCGTGCGTGCGTGCGCGTGCGTGTGTGTGTGTGTGTGTGTGTGTGCGTGTGTGTGTGTGTGTGCGTGTGTGCGTGTGCGCGCGCGCGTACGTTGGAGGGTAAGGTAGGTTCTATGTAATCCGTGTGTATTGGCGAGTAAAGCAACAGTTGTTAGGCAGGCTCAGTCGGAAATGGCGGATATTTACTTGGTATCAGCTTGATGTCCATTCAGTAATCGCCGAACGTGCGATACCCGCTGAATTACTTGCGAACAGAACCGCGAAATACCGTCATGCGCGCACCTTCACCACAAGAGCAGCGTACAGTCGCGTATCCGTAGGCCCCTGGCATCTCCTCAACCGGTTTTACTTGGAGCACCCACTTTTAGGCTTAACGTTTTGGATCGTCGTGTGTCATATCGTCATTTAAGGGAAAATGCATTGCGAGATGGAAATTAAGGCAGGCAAATAGGCGTCTTTTGGCGATCTCGCAGTGTTTGTAAAAATACTCATACGCCTACGTCATTCGAGTCGATCGAAGACGACGAAAAAAAGAGGAGATTCGGGCATTATTCTTGAACATTTGGCTAACCGACACTGCAAACGGTCGTTTGGTTTTCATCGAGGACTACAGGTCGGAAGTACGAGTGTGTAGTTGTCTGTACTTTTAAGCGCACAAGTAGTATTTAAGGGTAATCACTCGGGGATGGGTGAGGTTTTCTCGGCGTCGCGACGGGGACATCCGCGCCCGTGACTTTTGACACGGCGCGTCGTCGCAACCGTGAGCCGTTGCTTAGAACCCAAACGGAGGAGACGTAAACCGAAAAATTCAACCGTCGAAATACCGGCTTGTGTTGACAAGTTCTGACGGTAAATTGCTTGTAGATTGCTGAGATAAGTTCCAGCCTTAATTAGCCGCAACTGGCTCTTTCATGCTTTTCAAAAGCTTTCTTCTAGATAAGAGTTAGCTGCAGCTGGCAAGTGTTAGAATTGATTTCAGTAATTTACAAGTGATTTACTACCAGAATTTACGCAAGTAAAGATGACAATTCGGTTTTTTGGTTTGTATCTTTTGTATCTCTGGCTTCGATGCACTGTGTGTCGTCCCGGTGAGGGGGTCGTGCGTTTGATCGATCCTAATTGACCGATTGATTCGTCGTAGCAACACACTCTGGGAAGAATCTTTATCTTTCTTTCTCTCGCTTTCACGAGGACATCACGCGCGTCGATTTCCGCGTGTCGATGGAAAATCGATGAAAACGTCGCGCATCCCTCGTGAGTTGATGGGAAATTTGGTAAAACAGCCGAGTTTTCGTAGTATTAAGAAGCCACGCGAATTTTCGTCCTAGCGACGGATCTTGGCGCGAGGAACCGAGGGAGAAGATCGATCGATTGAGAACAATTTGAACGAGAACGCGCGTCGATAATGCGGCATACGGACGTGCAAACGCGAAATAGAATGATTCCGACTCACAGATCTGCAAATATATACATATACGCATATGTGCGAACTGATTGAATGTACTATTTGAACGTAGCGAGATCTACGTGAAGCGCAGCACGAAGGCAGGCAATTCTCACGGAACGATTTGGATTTAATTTAATAATAGGACTAACGAAGATATACGCGTCAGGATATATCGTCGACCGTGGTCTCAGCTCTGAAAGGAGGAAGGTTGGATGAAAATGAAGGAGTTGACGTTGCAACGCCTCGATGAATCTCATTTGAATTTCACACTTCGCTTAAGGCGAGTAATCGTTAAATGTGATAAACGAGGGTTTAATATTTCCAGAAATATCAATTAATATGTAATCAGTTGATAGAGGTATTAAAACGGCGAATTGTAAACCTAAGCTAACTGACGCGGAGAACAAAGTGCAAATTCATTTGAAAGTATAATCTCTTGTTTAGAGTTCTCGGTGTAACCACACAGTTTTACATTATGCGGTTTCGTCGTATATACGTATATATATCCCTCTCTCTTTCTCTCTCTCTCTCTCTCTCTCTCTCTCTCTCTCTCTCTCTCTCTCTCTCTCTCTCTCTCTCTCCCTCTCCCTCTCTCTCTTTCGCGGTTCTCCAACTGCACAAGTAAATAAGTAATTGACAGTTTGATTTTCATGTGCCTTGACGCTGAAGTGTCCTTCGTATTCACGTTGATCGCGATATCACGAGACGAGATCGAGGAAGGAGGAAGGAGGAGCGCAGCGAATGGAAGAGAAGTGATTTTTCGCGAAGTGCACAATTTACGACGACGTTGATCAATCTCACCGCGACAAATGGGACGAGGTGGACGTGCGCTCGCACGCCCACCTCGAGCAGACGTCGCGGACGGGCGCGCACTTCACCGCGTGTGTGCGATCTATTATTTGTACTTTTTTATAAACCTCGATCTCTCATTGCATCTGTATATTCGCCGAGACACCTGTTGTTTCCTCATTGACATCTCTCCACCGCGACGCGGAGAAACGTGCGCACCGTCCAAAGCTTACATCCGTTTGCTGTAACATCCACGCACCTTCGCGACCGGAGAATACGTTACACGAATAAGCGCTTGTATATATATATATGTATGTGTACACACACACGATGATTTCCGCGGCGACGACCGCGATCTCCCGAGGATTTTCGATTTTTGCAATACGCCACGGTAGTAGATTGTCTTCCAATCCGCGTTGCGGACAGCCGTTATTTCCGACGTCGCTATTCGCGCGAGTGAAGCGAACGTGTCATTAGCCCCCGCGTAATACGCGGCACCCTTCGAACACAATTTCGATATAATTCTATTATTCCGTGAGGTTATTGCGCTCCCGAGAACGTCTGAGAGTAGCTCTCGTCCAAGCGGCTTCTCGATCCCAAACCGCGAGCCATTCGGAAGCAAGAGGCGGCGCAGAGCCAGCGCTTGTCGTCGCGACAAGCCTCATTTACGCGCGTCACAGCGTTAACAAATGAGCACGCCTAATCACACACATACACTGTACGGCTAATCGGGCGCTTAATCGGGCACGCTATTCGCGCACAATGAGCATTGGGCGTCGGACGTCTCTAAGCGCTGCTCGCACATGGCAAAGACTCTTGCGAGGTACACCTTGACACCTTAATTGACGCATTGAGGGTTAATCAGTGAGAGAGATCCTTTCACCTCACCGTCCTTCTCGTTCTGGGGAGAAATTATTTTGAGTTCGACGTGAGAGAGTGATCCACGGTGATCACGGTGACTGAAAGACGGGCGCGAAGACTTGGAAAGTGGTCGGGACGGTTGACGCACGGGGAACAGATCCGCCCGATTCCGTTTTCAGAGCTGACGCCACGGCACGGAGGAGAGCAATCAAACAAACATAATCACGTCACGTGCGCGGAGGTCAATCGATCAGCACTAGATGCGTAGACGCGGTTACAGGTGAAGAATATCTCAGGGGTGCGAGTCTAAAGCACTAGATAAAAAAAAAATAGAACAAAACTAGATGCGACAGAGGGTTGGGCCACGCGTCGCAGCCTAGTCAACACGGCGACGTCGACGTCAGTCGGTAGAATGGATAGAATTAGGATTCGCTTGCTCGAGCAGATCCTTGTGACCGTAGCGATCCTCGGAGCGATCCGAAGATCCGTAGGAGAGAAAAATGCTGCGTGCGCGCGCGCGCGATTGTTCGCATCGCGATCGCCCCCGCGACTCAATTTTCACGCGCGTGTAATTAACGCGTTTCGATCTTTTCTTTTCGGTAAGTCGTAACGACCCCAGTCGTTATTTTCGGCTCCACCGAACACTTTGCTTGCAAGTGTTGAAAAAATTGTCTCCCGCGATTTGCTGACTGGTTGTATCGAAACGTATCAAGCATCGATTATTATCTTGTAAGTCTTGACGCGAGGGACAACTTGTCCGGTAGATCGGCGGTAGATCTTTTGTTCCGTTTTGTTACTTTCGCAAAAGTAAAAGTAATAAGTGAAGACGATGCGGCGCTCGATGTCTCGTTCCAAAGTCGCGGAATGAAGTCCTCAAGTTTGATTCGCGATCGAACGATCGCGCGCGGGCGTGAGCTGAATGGAAGAGACAACCTCGGGTATTTCTTGGTTGCTTGGATCATAACTTATCGAAGCGTTTGTCCAACGACACGTTCAGTTACGGTGATGTGGCCGTGTGATGTCGTGAGCAGCAAGCAGTATTTTTCATTTCGTACCGCAGGCACCGATTGCACCATAGCTCGAGTAATAATGCACCAGCAATATCTGTAGATTAGCACGGTGACCATATCGCGTCTTCAATTCCCTAGGATACTTCGTGTTGCTGTGTATACACGACTGCATGATCCAAATGGGTTATCACATTACCGTTTTCCCTTGCCGTACGTGCGAAGAGTCGGGCTCAGCGATCTCGCATAACGCATAACATGCGTGCACGCGTATACGGCGCACCACGTGTAACGTCGCGTTAATGAGAATTCACCGTAATTTCAGTTTTAACGATCTCCCCCGGCCCATTCCAGCCCTCGGCCGTGGCTATCTCGATAGTATCGCTTATCGTATCGCAAGCTCTCTGATAAAAGAAGAAGAAGAAGAAATCTCTCCCTTCGCTCGACCCGCCAGGGGGGGGGGGGAGGGTATGGTAGGATGAAGGAAAAGCAGAAGAGAAAAACGCGCTTACGGAGAGTTCTGATTGAGGCGACGTTCGGAGACTGTCCCGAAGACTTATCGATGCGTAACATTCCTAGTTGTAAATTAATGATCTCCATGATATCGATCGTAGCGCATATACCGAGATGTAGTTTGCGAACGACTGGCAGCGTCGAGTCGCGCTCCCTCCCGACGTAACGCTGGCGCGAGGGAACGCGTGCTTACCGACAAACCATAAAGTCTCTCTGAGGTCTCGACGGTCCTCCTATTATCGCGAGAGGATCGTGCAATAAGTTATGACATTCGCGCG